CCCTTCATGTGGTAACATGGTAGGACACTGACCAACGGTAGGGTCTACTGACGTAATGTAACTAACTGCCACTCAGCTCTACATGTAGCATACCTTGGATGCGCGCTCCAACAGCCTTCCAACTTGTAAGGTTCGAAGTAGTTATAGAAATGACCTCCGCATCCGTCCTTCACGGCTGAGACTGTCAGCTCATGCTTGTTTTGGTTGTGCGCGCCTTCCCCTCATTGTTATTTCTATAACTTCGAACCTTCCAAGTTGGAAGGCTGTTGGAGCGTGCACACAAAACGTGCTACCTCCGAGTGGCAGTTAGTTACAGAACGTCGGTACCGTTGGTCAGTGTGGTGCAATGGTATCGCATGAGCTGATTGTCAAGTAACTGGTGGTGTAAGTGGACATTTTTGCGTAACTTTTAGCACGTTGGTCCTTTTTCTTCCAAAATGGAAACTTTGGTGCGTATATTTTCCCTGTCCCTGTCTTTTTTATCTCAGGATTTGGATAATAAATGTTCAAGTTGTTGATCACGTGACAATCTGTGAATACCATTGTCACAGTGCTGGCGAGTGCCAAGCAATTTGTTGTTCAAAAACTGTCAAATGCGCTCCTGAATGGACGAGCAGGGCAGTAAATTGCTTCCGCAGGGCCTTGGGACAAGGCCTTAGCCTCAATAAAGGCCATGTGTGTGTGTGTGTTGTGTGTGTGTGTGTGCGTGCGTGCGTGCGTGCGTGCGTGCGTGCGTGCGTGTGTGTGTGTGTGTGTGTGTGTGTGTGTGTCTGTGTCTGTGTGTGTGGGTGTGTGTGTGTGAGAGAGAGAGAGAGAGAGAGAGAGAGAGAGAGAGAGAGAGAGAGAGAGAGACAGAGAGAGAGAGAGAGAGAGAGAGAGAGAGAGAGAGAGAGAGAGAGAGAGAGAGAGAGAGAGAGAGAGAGAGAGAGAGAGAGAGAGAGAGAGAGAGAGAGAGAGAGAGAGAGAGAGAGAGAGAGAGAGAGAGAGAGAGAGAGAGAGAGAGAGAGAGAGAGAGAGAGAGAGAGAGAGAGAGAGAGAGAGAGAGAGAGAGAGAGAGACGGAGAGAGAGAGAGAGAGACGGAGAGAGAGACGGAGAGAGAGACGGAGAGAGAGACGGAGAGAGAGACGGAGAGAGAGACGGAGAGAGAGACGGAGAGAGAGACGGAGAGAGAGACGGAGAGAGAGACGGAGAGAGAGACGGAGAGAGAGACGGAGAGAGAGACGGAGAGAGAGACGGAGAGAGAGACGGAGAGAGAGACGGAGAGAGAGACGGAGAGAGAGACGGAGAGAGAGACGGAGAGAGAGACGGAGAGAGAGACGGAGAGAGAGACGGAGAGAGAGACGGAGAGAGAGACGGAGAGAGAGACTGAGATTAGAGAGGTTTTGCATTCCGAATTTCGGAATGATTTTCGACTGTGCTTTTCCGAAAAAAGCGCGTGCCGAAAAACGGCATTTTCAGTGTTTTGCATTCCGAAAATCTGATTCGAATTCGTTTCCAAGGGTTGCCATGCAAAACAAAATGGAGAGCGTCGAAGGGGTTTAGCAGGATCAAATCCATGTGCGCAGGTCAAGCTGCAGTTTGAAGACAAGGACGGACTGATGGTGGACCAAGTGATCCAACACTGAGCTGAAGACGAGGTTGGCGAGCTACTGTCTTGTACTGTCAGTAGGCACCATGGCAAAGGAAGATAGAGTGTGATGGAGTGTGAGAAGATTAGTCAACATGGCGAGATCAGCGAGACCAGCAAAAACCAGGAAAAATCAAAACTACATACGTGGAAAAAATTCAAATAATCGAGAGCAGCAGAAAGCAAAAATAATACAAACATAAAAATACACTTTTTGTATTCAAATATGCACTCCCAAACAGGAAAGAGCCGAAAATCCATTTTCGGAAAACCGTGCACTTTCGCCACCACACTTCCGAAAGTTCGACTACTTTTTCGACTGCTGCCGCCACATTCCGAAAATAATTCCGAAATTCGGAATGCAAAACCTCTCTATTGACGGAGACTGAGATTGACGGAGACTGGAGAGAGAGTGTTTGCCTGGGCACTTAGATCTGTACATTGGTCACGTGACCTGCAATGCTGCTGCTTCCAACAGGAGCACGAGTACGAGCGTACCAGGATGTTCAAATTGGAGAAACAAACAACAGTCTACGGTACCGTACGTTCTGTACGGCATGGACATGTGCGTACTACGAGCGCCCGGTGTTAAGTGTACGGTACGGGATTGGTGCGTACATGACTGGAAATGACTGGAAATATTGATTATATAAACGAAAGCAAAAGTGGTTGACCCGGCATCGTCATCAGCAGCCACTTCTTCGTCATCAGCAGCATCATCAGCATCTTCAGCAAGAAGCATCATCAGCATCACCATGGCCGGTTGCACAAAAGAAAGTCTCCCATCTCTGCAAACCAACTACAAACCGCTAGGCAAAGAGATCAAAGTCAAGGACTTGGATGCGTACTTGGTCGGCCAGGGTACCAGAGCACTGATTCTAGCCTATGACATTTTTGGCTTTGGTGTCTCGAACAGCAGAGCAAGAGCTTTCTGTGACCAGCTGGCTAATGAAGGGTTTCTGGTGCTCATGCCTGACTTCTTCCGAGGCACAGCATGGCCGGCGGGCAAACCGGTCGATGACGGCATGGTGACTTGGCTTCAAACCATTCCAGACACCCAACTCATTGACGACGTCCACTCCAAGATCATCCCGTATCTTCACCTACAGCACAGTGTCAAGTCCATCGGCATGGCTGGCGTCTGCTGGGGCGGCTGGCTGGTTCAGAGAGTGTCGTCTGTAGTCGGTGCGCTGTCTTGTGGCGTGTCCTACCACCCCAGCTTGCAAATGGAGGAGACAGTCTATGGCGGTAGCGTCGACAAGATTTTGAGCGATGTCAAGTGCCCGCAGCTCCTCATGCCCACCGGGAACGATCCGAAAATGGCGCAGGAAGGTGGTCAGGTGATCACAAAGCTGAAAGGCTCAGACATTGAGCGTGTGCGCGACGGCAGCCACATCCACGCCTTCCCCGACATGGTGCACGGCTTCATGATGAAGGCGACGGTGGATATTAGTGACGAGAAGGTAATTCGTGACGCCACTTTAGCGTTCCGTCTGTCCGTTGACCACTTCAACAAGTACCTGGTGGAGGAGCCTAGTCATGAATATGTTGCTCCATCGGTCGCAACTATTCACACACCCCAGCTAGTCCAAGTCTAAAACTCCACTGAAGAAAGTCTCTATTTGTTACTGTCGTTACTTGAACATATTTCTAGGTTCTGGCATTCCTGTTACTCTTTGTATCATTATGATATAATTACTACTCTCCGTTTAACCAAGAGTCCATAAACACTTTTGGTCTAACTTATAATCTTCTTAGTGTGTCTATAATAGAATTATTATCTCTCCTATCGCACCGAAACTCTATTCCCTATTAAATTTTGCAGTGAAGCGAGTTGCGCGAGTTTGGTCCTGTCACCATGACAGTGAGTTTGGTCCTGTCACCATGACAGTGAGTTTGGTCCTGTCACCATGACAGTGAGTTTGGTCCTGTCACCGTGACAGTGAGTTTGGTCCTGTCACCATGACAGTGAGTTTGGTCCTGTCACCATGACAGTGAATGGGGTGTCACCATGACAGTGGTATTACGGCTATGCTAGTGTGTACGTATCAATCTCTTTAACAAATAATCCTTTCTCTCTTCGAAGTATCCTAGACCATGCCTATTCCTGATAGCAGTAAATTGAAGTTCTGAGGGACGATTCAGCTCCTCAAATACTCAGTACAGGTATGTTGGTTGGATCCGCCTGCCTCACCGATACGAGTGTCTTGGTGCACTCCAAAGGTAAATTTAGTCCGGGTGTATGGCGTGTGGCGTGCATCTGCCACCGATTTCTAGGTCATAGTATTTATAGTATTTATTCACATTTCTCTAGGGCAGTCTCCTTACGGGGTACCCTACCCAATCTAGGATTGCGATACGAAATTGATTTGGTGAAGCATCTTTCTCTTGATCGTTGTCCACTATACTCGTCTCGTCCAAGTTCATCACCTCCATGGTATTATTATTATTATGAAAATGACCGAAGGCAATATGCCTATCGAGGGGTTCATTTTGTTGATGATCATTTGATTCTAAGAACAGTACATGATAGGGCACCCGTACTTACAGTTGATGGAAATTGCATCACAGTTACTTTGAATTAGTTGTCTCCGCATCACTTGTTTAACCGGCGCTGGAGATATGGCGTCCTGGTCATCATGCGTGACCTCAGTCTCTTCCTCTCGCGGAGACCTTTCCAGGAAGCCCAGGATTGTGAAGATCGAGTGAGTAGAACTGAAGTTACATCCCAAACAACATGAAAATATGCAGAATTTTGAAATTTCCAATCGGCTCTCAAAGGGTTAACTTAAGCTTAAACAGGGTGTGCGAGACATCCCCTGCGCAACATCTCCTGCGTCAAACATTGGCTAAGAAAACAGGACGAAAGTGTCGCGTCAGATATCTGCTTCACTGGAAAACAGAGGGTACACGAGTACAGTGTTCGCGACTCGCGAGTATATCTGTCGCCTATTTTCTGCTTCTCCTCCGCCATTGGTGGACGAGGAACACAGTACTTTCAGCCAGTGTTTCTGATCGTCAACCGGCTTTCAAAAAGACATTTCGAAAGGCAGGAAAAGACGATAGCGATCAAACAGAGCCTGGTACACAGCGATCCTCGTACCGGTACACGAAGCAGATCCGATCAACACGCGCAGTGCAAGCATTCAACAACCTGAGTTGCTGGCAGCAAAATGGATACCAGTATCGCAAAACGCATAGTCTCCAAACCTCAAAGAGAGAAAGGAATTTTCAAGGAGATTGATGGAGGCACGATGGCGTAGACGCAGTACCAATGTATGGTGAGAAGACCAACGGGCAGCAGCTCGCTACATTGCACTTAAAGACAAGATAGATCTTGGTGCCATAAAAAAAAGGAAATTATCGTGTCCGTTCCCGAAGGGAACTCACGACGGCCGCTAACACCCGGTAAACCCGCTAATGGGGTTTCTGGGCACTTGTGCCAGTGGTTGTGAGACTTTTCCACTCACCCCCACCGTTAGGCGCTGCATCTGCCGCTAGGGTTTGGTGCGATCACAGAGATAATAACTTCTATTATACTTCAAGTAGCCACACTAAAGAAGATGTAAGCAGGACGAAGGGTAGTATTATACCATATTGATGCAGGGAGTAACAGAACTGCGAGAGCATAGAGATGACTACAGTAATAAAAAACATCAGTTTTGGAATTGGACTGCTTGGGGTGTGTGAATAGTATGTTCATGGCTAAAAATTATACAATATAAGGCATAGGCTCCTCAATCATGTACTTCTTGAAGTGGTTAACGGACAGACGGAACGCTAAAGTGGCGTCACGAATCACATTCTCGTCACTAATGTCCACCGTCGCCTTCATCATGAAGCCGTGCACCATGTCGGGGAAGGCGAAGATTTGGCTGCCGTCGCGCACACGCTGAATGTCTGAGCCTTTCAGCTTTGTGATCACCTGACCACCTTCCTGCGCCATTTTCGGATCGTTCCCTGTGGGCATGAGCAGCTGCGGGCACTTGACATCGCTCAAAATCTTGTCCACGCTACCGCCATAGACTGTCTCCTCCATTTGCAAGCTGGGGTGGTAGGACACGCCACAAGACAGGGCACCAGCCGTCGCAGACACTTTCTGACCTAACCAGCCGCCCCAGCAGACGCCAGCCCAGCCGATGGACCGGACACGGTGCAGCAAGCGAAGATACGGGATGATCTTGGAGTGGACGTCGTCAAGGAGTTGGGTGTCGGGAATGGTCTGAAGCCAAGTTACCATGCCGTCATCGACCGGTTTGCCCGCCGGCCACGCTGTGCCTCGGAAGAAGTCAGGCATGATCACCAGGAACCCTTCATTAGCCAGCTGGTCACAGAAAGCTCTTGCTCTGCTGTTCGAGACCCCAAAGCCAAAAATATCATAGGCTAGAATCAGTGCTCTGCTACCATAGCCGACCAAGTACGCGTCCAAGTCCTTGACTTTGATCTCTTTGCCTTGCGGTTTGTAGTTGGTTTGCAGAGATGGTAGACTTTCTTTGGTACAACCGGCCATGATGATCTGATGATACTTCTTGCTGGGTGATGCGTCTTGCTTCTGATGCTGGTGGTGATGCGTCTTGCAGTTGCTGCTGATACTCAGTCTTGCTGACGATGCTGCTGATGACGACGATGCTGATGTGATTCGCGTTTTATGTCATTTTCACATAATGACAGTTGTTCAGGTTATGTACGCACGGTGTCATCGTACATGCAATGATACACCGTACCGTACATTTCATAGCACGCGTGTGGCCCGTACCGTATGTGGCATACGGTACCGTATACGGCTGGGTGTTTCTCGAGGTTATAACGTTAGCCCAAAGATGCCATAAGTTTTCGCAACCGTGCCAAAACAAGACTTGCAAATTGCTGAAATCGCATCCATAATCAGTTTTACAGAAAAAGCTCAAAAGTTGACACCATTTTCAATTTGAAATGAGAGGGTAACTTAGGGCATGTTCGATTGTACGAATCCATCAGCCCCAGACCCGGATTCGCCAAATTCGTACATGTTCGATTGTACGAATCCGGATCCCGAGAGCACGGATTCGGATCCAGTCGACCCACCTCACAGAGACGGATTCGACGGATTCATTTCGATAGTACGACTCGTATCAACTCAAAACTCGCAATATGCGTACACTAGGTCAAGAGTTTACCACAACGCGTACAGATACTACGGGATGAGCTGTAGCAACGCGGTTGCTAAGGCCTCGGTCACACTACGGCAGTTTGAAGCTGGACGCAGCGTCAAGCCGCAGCACTTGACGGAGACGCGGGGTCACACAGTGTTTTGTTTTTTTTGCAGCTCATGACTGCCGCGGCTTGACGCATTTGTCTACGTCACAAAACCACCAGGAAAACTCAATGACGACACGGATTCCCACGGAAACCGGCCTTTTGCTTATTATACAAAAATATTGTCGGACAAAGTTTTCGAATTTTTCATTGATTTTTGATTACAAGAAGACGAAAGGTACTAGGTCCACGCGTGCACGATCGTTGTTGTTTCTTTCCGAATTTGAAGCCATTTTCAGTTGTAGTGTCATTGATCAGGCAAGAAAAGTCCGCATCGCAGCTGTGTTTCTCCTGACTTCGTCATACTGGTTGTCCTTTTTGGGGCTCTTGACGACAACACAACACTCACAAGTCAACAGGCTCCAGTTGGCCGATGACCCACTCAAACAACTGGTCCTTTCTCGACATCATTTTCTTCTCAGAAAACGCCTCGCTCTTCCGCCAGGTTCGGAGCAGAGCAGCCTCGGCCTCGTAGGTCCACGGACTCATCTCGAACAAAAAGAGGGAACAAAACAAACCTTGAACAGACGAATGTCGAATAACTGCTCAACTCAAGCAAAGTGTCTTGAAGTTGAAACTAATTTTACTTGAAAGACACTGTTTTTCCGCCAAGCGTCACTCCCATCAGCGGCAACGCAGCCGATTTCCCCACGTCAGACGCAGCAGCGTCTGACGCTCAAACTTCCCGCGTTGCGTCAGTTGCCATGGAAAAGCTCATGATTCTGACGCTGACGCAGCATTTTTGCCGTAGTGTGACCGAGGCCTAAAGCCGTGTTCACAACTGGCGCGTGGACGCGGTACGCTTGCGGTTCATGCGCCCCCAAACGCGCGCTCAGCCTTTCACAAAAAACAGCAATCCGAGTCGTATTTAGCGCGTGCGATACCTTCGAGTACTAATTTTTTGACCCCGCCAGTCAAAGTGACTGGCATGTACGCTGATACGCGCCTGATACGCGCTGAAAATTCCAACATGTTGGAAGTTCCATTTCGGCGCGTTTCCGTACGCATGGCGCCCCAAAAGCCAGCAAAAATACGCACAAACGCGTGGTTTCACGCGTACACGCGCCAGTTGTGAACACAGCTTAAGGCCTAGAAACGGATTATCGGTTGTCACATTCGATTGAATCCGTCCGATCGAAGTGGGGATCGGGATCCAGTTTTTACAATCGAATGCAGCCTTAAACTACTAACTTTTCTGTGGCCCACTCCCACTTGCTGCGCCGCAAGTGGTCGTTGACACTTTTCTAGTTTTCTTGAAGGTTTGGATACCTCTGCAAGAAGGGAGAATGCAGAAAGGTAGGCGAGAGCTGATTCCATGTGGCGACGAGAGAAATGAGCATGTAGAGCTGCTACCCCCCCCCCCTTCAACCGGGCATAATGGCCCCCCCTTCAACCGGGCATAATGACCCCCCCTTCAACCGGGCATAATGACCCCCTTCAACCGGGCACAATGACCCCCCTTCAACCGGGCATAATGACCCCCCTTCAACCGGGCATAATGACCCCCCTTCAACCGGGCATAATGATCCCCCTTGGCATAATGAGGCAAGGTAGTGGCCTGCCGCCTGAGCTCATGAGGCAAGGAGAACTTCTTGAAAACGTACTCACACTGTCACACTGGTTGTGCTTCTAAACAAAATTGCATAACGCTAGGAACAGTTTGCCTAGAGAGGTGCGCACCGTATCCAGCTTGCAAGATTTTAAGCTAGCCTGCCTTCCTTATGTTACGTATGCCTGAAATAGGTTGTGTTTCGTCAGGTTTTGACATGTTCCTTTTCTTCTCAGTATTCTCGCTCGCATAGTACTCCACTTCTATGATAATATTGCCTATGCTGTTGCTCATTAGGATTTTGGCAAATTCTATCCTTCGCTTTCATATAACTGGGCCAGGAACCCGTTTGAACTTGCGAAGTAAAAATAAAATCAATCAATCAAAATTAATCTAGTAGTCGGTGGTAACGGTTGCACGGACAAGCATTGGCCTTCCTTCTCCTTCCTGCTGGCCCCTTATGGGACTCCGTTGTGCACGCTAAGTCGAGAATCCGAATTGTTGCTGATTAGATTCCATTAGCGACTTGGCGCACACTGCATTTTCTGCTCCCACGACGCCCAGTGCATGCAGTCACCAATGTACAGTGCTGGCAACTGAAATCCGACCCCCTGAGCGGTGCGCCCACATCGCAAAGACCCGAAATAGAGGCCGCTGTAGAAAGTGAACGCGCCGGCCAGGGGGTCGGATTTCAGTTGCCAGCACTGTAGCTACATGTACAGACAATCGTGGACATTTGTAGTAGTGGTTGACATTGCTGAATCCTCTTTCTCAGTTCCAGAGTCCAGACTGCGCTCATTACAGTCAAGAGTACATAACCCCCACGGTTATGTACTCTTGTTACAGTACATGTACAGTAAAACCTGTCAAGGCGACCACTCGGATAAGGCGACCACCTGTCCTAAACGACCACTGGAACCAGGACCAAGGCATGCTATTTCAAGTCAATTGGACATGGATAAGGAGACCACCTGGTAACAGAGACTACGTTTTGAAGGTCCCTTGAGAGGTCGTCTTAGTCAGGTTTCACTGTACATTGCACTGAGACTACTCTGTGAGAGAAGAAAGGAGAGAACGGAGAGACTGACGCTGACAAAAACAAGAAAGGAGGACAGACGACAGGGAAGGGACTCGTTTTCTTCTGACCATCCTTGGTGGCTTTCGTGGTGTCCACCACTCGTAGAAAACAGAATACACTAAGAAAATACACATGTACATAATTGTTGGCAATGTCAGCCAATGCTGACGATTGACTATGATGGTTGGTCATGAAACTCGGAGAAGCAACGAATATAATTTCCTTGGTGAGGATCCAACCGCTTCCTTTGTGTGTGTGTGTATGATTGTACCAGAATTAAATCGAGCAAACTCCACTTCATTCTGCCATCAGCCCTACTGTAAATCGCCAAATTTTGGCATTAGGCCAAGTAAAAAAATTGATTGTTTATCGTCCGCGCCCGCCCCAAATTTTCACCCTCCCCGCCGAATTATTTTATTTTTTAGTACTGGTAAATGTACTGTACTGTATGTACTGCGGTCTACACCCTCTAATCAGCATGGCCATAGATTTTCGAAGGTCAAGTCCACAGGGTCAGACTGAACCATAACTTAGTTGCCATGGGCTTGAAAAGTGAAACTGATCATAGTAAGCTGCCTGATTTTCTTCGTTTTTTCTACGTAACGTTGGTTGTTCCACATTCCATTATCCTCTGGGGTTGCGAACACCTGCCCTACAGCCATAAATGCATAATAAAAAATAAAATTAAAAACCTCCCGTCCACCCCGATTTCTCGAGAAAATCTGACGATAAACAATCAATATATTTTACATGGCCTTATAATTATGCTGGCATAACTTCTGGCATAATCCTAGGAATTTGTCTAAAAATTATGCCCAGGCATAAAAGTGCATAAAACAATTTTACAAATATCCACGCGAAACGAAAGCAGAACGGCCAAAAATAATAATTTAGTGCGAAAATAAGAAAAATAAATAATAACACCCGAAAGCGCTAAATACAAAATCAAGAAAAAGGGAAATTATAAACCATGTAGCGCTAATGTGCACCAAATAATAAGTTAAATGATAATAAAGCCGAGTGAAAAACACAAGGCATAAAAGGACTTATGAGACCAGACAGTCAGTATATCCTTGCGATGCTGGCTGAAGATTAATGCTCCGGGCATGTCTAATACAGGAAATAACCCGGTGAATGTTACTAGTATACCCACCGTGTAGTATGCCGTGCTGGCATGGTGCTTGTAGAGTCGTTGCAAGTGTACAATAACCAGTGGTTATGTACTCTTGGTCGTTGTAACGTTGCAAAGTGCAACAAGAGTGCAAGGGTGCAGTATAGCACCATCATTGGCAAAATTCCAGCACATTATAATAAAATGTAGCATCATCACTGAAATAATTTGGGCAAAGCGGAAAGCAAATTTCAGCAATTTGCCGAGCATAATCCGCCAAGAATCAAACTTTGGCTGTTTGGGGTTCAATCCTGCATCTCGTGTCTCTATGACAAACTTTGGCCTGCAGCCTGGTGGAGACTAGTCGTTGAATGCTAGGTGGTCATTGGCAATGCTTTCGGATACACGCAGGAGAATTCATTGTCTGTTCATACAGTGCCCCATACCATTAAGGACAGAGATTACTTTCACAAAACGTAAACCGAGGTTCCATGGCTACTCGAGCTTCATGGCAGCAAAGAAACGTCGTTTTGCCTTCTGCTTCTTCTGCAGGTGCATGCCAAATACCGCGGTTTGATAATCGCTGAAAAGCGTGAAACTTGAAGTTACGTGAAGTTGGTTGTTCCAACGAGGAACACACGCTTCCTGCCGAACTTAACACTTGACTGACTCACGACTGCCATCCGGAGCACACGAGAATACCGTCGAAGTCGCAACTTCTAAGTTCTCTAAAAGTTACAGCTGTATTTAGTACACAGCCTTTTGCCTCCGTTGTTTGTGTGCATATATAATTAGAACGGCTCAGCCTAAGGATAGTATTGTGCAACTTGAGTTGCAAATCCAAGCCTCGTTCGGCTGCATCTTGTACATAATTATGTACTTTGCAAGGACGCTTTGCCCATTGTGGTAAGGAGCACCGGGTGATGTAGAGGCAAAGACCCGTTCCACGTGAACCAACACACAACACGTCACGGAGCACCACGCATCTTCATAGTAGGTAATAGGGAGGTAAAGTCCCACGTAACGGATATGGGAACGTGTGTGATACATGTATACGCGTAAAGTTCATGCAATGGACCCACGTTCGCAATGTTGTTTTCAGTCACACGGAACAAACAAAAGCGTGAAGCAAAAGGCCCAAACTTGGTCAAAGACGAAGATTCGAAGCTCACCGAATATTTTGATTTTGTGCTTCGGAAACTTCTTCAGCTGAGCACCCTCACAGCTTGCACAAGGCGCTCCATTCTGATTTTCACCCACGTTCTGGCGGAACGTGGTTGAGCCTCCATACACGGTATGTCGTGAATCAGAAAACGGCTGTACGTGGGTCACTGAGTATCACGTGGTACACACACGTAAAGTACACACGGATTACATGCGACTATAATAAATCTCATCATATAAATAATCCAATACACGTACATATTAATTTTAGGGGTGAAAGGAACGAACGAAAGTTCGAATATTCGTTCGAAAAATTTGAAAACGAACGAACGAACTCGCAAGATTGATAAACGAACACAGCAAGCAAGCATAAAGATCGCTTGTGACTAGATCACGAAGGAGCCGCGGAGGTTGGGAGATCGCGAGCTTGCACGCTGATCGACTGAGTTTGCCTTGATGATCACTTGAAGCAAGTTGAAGGAGTTGAGTGTCGCGTCGAGACAAAGTTGAAATATTTCTGTGTGTCCGTTTGAGTTAGATTTGTACTCGTAGTGAAAGGATTCGAGTCGCTTGTGACATCTGTTCCCGAAAGCAAACGTTCACTCGTTGCAATCATGTCAAAACATTCGAGCCTTTCATCGCGATCCGGAGTTGGAGCGGAATTTGATAAAGTGGTTGGGAAAGACGAAGTCCTTTTCTCAATTTCAAAAAGGTTCTATCACACAGCAGAGCGACGACGAGCAATCTTCGTACTCACCTCAAGAAGTGCCGTTCTCCTGCTCTGACGACCTGAGCTAGCGATGAGAAGAAAACTCTCGTCCGGACGATGGTGATGGACTTTGCAGCTAGCTGCAAAACCCTGTGATTCAGCTCAGGCGGACGCGATAAAAAATATATTTCTGTTCTGGCAGTGTATCGTACACCGTCAATACTGAACTGTGGCCAGCCAAGTACAGAGAACGCCTGTCAGCCTGTACTGGCAGACGACTGTATGGTCTTCAAAAAAATTCATCCATGAAATGCATAATGGAGAATGTTCGTTCGAGTTCGTTCGTTAGTGTGACCGTTCGTTCGTATTCAAAATTCGATGTTCGTTTCACCCCTAATTAATTTTGATAGTAGAGTGGTTAAGCTGCACGTTATTTCTGACGTGACGCGGAAGTTCAGCTCGTGCTATTTGCCTCGCACGTTGGAAAACAACACGAGTGACCTGCAGCTCGCTTCGAAATTTGGAGTTTTGACGAGAAATTGCGCGTCACGTCAGAACTAACGCGCAGCATAGCCTCTCTAGTGTGTGCGTGCGATCTTCAACGAATTGCTTGTAAGAACGTGCCACAAGAACGTAGCCAGATTGCTCAAAGACGAGACCGTATCTGTTCTTTCAGCCGGACCTCTTGGAATTGACATTCTTGGGCGTGCGACTCTGCTGTGGGTTCATGGCCTTCTTTAAAAGGCAATCATCAGACAACTCATGTTCACTGGGAACACTGGGACTTGTGCGTAGTATGGTAGCTACATAACTATGTAATAATTATGATAGCTACATAACTATGTAATAATTATGATAGCTACATAATTAATAATTACGTATTGTGATAGCTACATGCACCTGTACAAGAAGAACTTGCTTGCTGCCGCGTTAATCACCATTCGTTGTTCGACTTGAAAACTACGGAGATCTATAGCTACATGTGCAGGTATGTTCGCATGAACATTGAGCACACTACTGAACCAGAGTACTCTTATCGCCACGTGGACCAACATGTAAGCGTGTGGTTGGGCCTACATCTACTCAAGTAGACGTATACTAATTGCATGGATATCTGCTTGTCTACGTATTGCAAAAAAAAATAAGAAAAATTATCACAATTGAAAGAAGTGCAGTACTATTTGAATACTTTAAAAGGTAGCAGCAGTTGCAGTTGAGGTACCTAAGCAACATTGGTTTAACTAGAGTCAATTTGTGTGTGAGGGGGGGGGGGGGTATCAGTAGGAAGAAGAAAACAATAGTAGTAATAGGGGCAGAGAGAGAGAGAGAGAGAGAGAGAGAGAGAGAGAGAGAGAGAGAGAGAGAGAGAGAGAGAGAGAGAGAGAGAGAGAGAGAGAGAGAGAGAGAGAGAGTCGCAGTCACGCTGCCAACCCACCATCAGCCAAGGCTAGGAACAGACAACTCGGCTACGGCACTTCTAAGCACCCGGACGCGAAGCAGACCTGCACAGACATGTGCGAGCCAATAGAGTAGGTTGGCATGCAACTAGTACAGCTGCCTGTCTGTTCAGAATAGCCAGGGTATGGGATGGCAATGCACTCCACTAGTGTTTTCTGGCCTTCCAGACGATAATGAAGTTGGCAAGGAGGCGCAGTGCAACGCCCAGTGCGAACAGAACTCCAATGTTTAAAGAGAATTCGTTCTGCAGGGAGAAGGATGCAATAACATTTGCGTAAGTACACAATTTGCGGTCAGTATTGGCACAAGCTGCGGCATAACTGCGGGGAATTTGCGACAGTTTCGGGAAATTTGCAAGTGGAATGGCAAATCTACTGGTTTGCCAGCCAAAAAAACAATCCTATTTTTTATCAAGAAGAGTGTGTGGCACACACTCTTCTTGATAAAAAATAGGATTGTTTTTTTGGCTGGCAAACCAGTAGATTTGCCATTCCACTTGCTACCAGTAGGCTAGGGAGTGCCCTACACAATAATAATCCAATACACGTACACAAAAGCAGGTGCTTATGGCCGTATAAGCCGGGGTTCAAACCATGCTTCTATTCAAGTTACGCTTCTATTCAAACATGCTCCTACGTCAATATCTTCAGTCTACACTGTGCAGTGCATATTGTCATACATGTAGTGTGCACATACATGCACTTGCACGTATGCTTCTATTCAAATCGCGCTTCTGTGACACGGCGCTCTTCAAAAAATCGGCTTCTATTCAAGACATGCTTCTATTCAAGTCATGCTTTTATACATCGACACTACAGCATGCAGGAGTACCAGTATGTGACGTGAACGGCTCACAACCCAACACCGGTGTGTGTCGCAGCAAAGAGTTCAAAACTAGCAGGAAAATCGCGGAAAATGCGGTTTAAAAATCACCTAATTCGCGGAAAAACACGGTCGCTGAATCGCGATTTTCCCCAGGGACAGAGCAGTGTATTGGCAAAATCATCAACACATGATCCTGCCAAGAGGTCCGTATAAACTCTAGCACACTCAACAAGCCAGTTTTGACTTTTGACTGCACCGTAGAACACGTTATTTTAGGTATACCAAGAGTCCATAACCCCCCAGAGTGTGCAACTCCAGGTTGGGGTCTGGCGCAACGAAATCCAAACATTGTGTCATCCGGTCCCCGGGCAAGCATGGGCGGATGGGGCCATGTGCATATCTGGTACATCCGGCGGGGGTTCCAAGTTGAAGCAAGCCACGGAAGTGTCACGTAAAACGTTTGCTCCACGGGCTATGCAGTGTCAGCAGAACGGCTTTGATTTCACAGTCACAGAATTTTTTTATTTGAAGAGAGTTTCTCTGCTCGTTGTCTGAAAAGCTTGTATTGGGAGAGTTCGTGACTCCGGGATAGCAAGAATAGGCATGGATATAGATTTACAAGATTTGATGGAAATAGCTCTTGGCACACGGCATGAAGACCCGATCGATTTCGAAGTAGATGTGCTTCAACCTGCTCCTCAGTCCCATTTTGGTACAATTTCCAACACTCGACAATCGAGAGAAGAAAATGAGGAGCCCAGATCGAGCAAAAACTGACGAATATCGTCCACAGAGACACTGCACTTCGGCGACAATGGGGAGCGCTTTGCTTTAGGTTCAACAGTGGCCATTGTTCTTCTCTTATCGGAGAGACACTCAAAAGAGAAAACTGTTCGACAACTCTAAAATAATTCTTTGTGTACTTGAGCCTTTCAGTTTCAGGCGTGTTACGTGGCCGTGGATTCGTAAAGAAAGACCCCAAATTGGGCAAACGGGCGAAGTAGGTCCGGGCCAAACTTCCCATTTCGTCATAGCTACTCACTACATGACGTATGAAGTTTGGATTTCGTTGCGGCACTGATTTGTGCTGAGAAGGATCACGAGTTGCACACTCTGGGGGGTTATGGACTCTTGGGTATACTAATGAATGCCGGAGTCGGATTCCTACTGGATTTTGAACTTTGTCACTATAATCTGAAGGTCACCTTTCTCTTCCCTCCTGCAGCCGTAGAGGGTGTTTCATTTTTCTTGCTGGGCTTTTCATTGGACTTTTGTTGCCAGTGTTTGAGGCATCATCTCCTTGGGGAAGGATATGCCTGATGGGATTCCGGTGTAACAGGAATAGGCGATTATCTCCCGTAACATATGGCAGAAACTAAAGTGCCATTCCAAATACACATACAGTCAACTTGGCTAATAACGACTGCGGATATAACGACAATTCGTGAATAACAACAGAATTTCCATGCCCAGAGCAAAGTCCCATCCAACTGTAACACACATAAGGCCATGGTAAAAAATAAAGTTGATTCTCAGGTCATGAGCCTGTGAAAATTGGTGCGAGCGAGCGATTTTTTTATCTTATTTCCCGCAATTTTTTTATTTCCAAAGATAGGGTCACACATATGTACGTCACAGGTTCATATAATTATTTTATTATTCAGGCTAGGGAGTAGAAAAATACCGGTATTTTACTACTCCCTGATTCATGCCTTTCGCATTGACCGTTTTCATGTGCGCATATGCATGCATAGAAATAAAAAAATCGTCGGTGCGCCGCCAAAAATCGGTGCGCGCGTACTTGAGAATCAAAGATAATTTTTACCATGGCCTAATGAGACTTCGGGTATAACGACACTTTGCGAATAAGGACACTTTTTGGATGCCCTGCCGAGTGTCGTTATAAGCGAGGTTGAGTGTATACACAGTTGTCTAAGGGCATGTTCGATTGGTAAGGATCGGGATCGCGATCCAGATTTCAGATCCGTCGGATCCTTCAGAGTCAACTGGACACTTTTTTGAGCCTTGACTGTTGCCATGTTGACGAAAGTAATAAAAAGTCGTACTCACCGCGCCAGTTGTACAAAAAGTCAACAAGCTCTATCTCGATCCACGTGTGCGTACCACAATGTGCACAAAAATGATTTTTACCCGCCATATACGCACAAAGGTCACATTTGGATCCGTTTGATCCGGTCAACCCTGCTCCCCGAGGTGGGTTGACCGGATCCAAATCCGAAGGATCCGGATTCTACCAATCGAAAGGGTGCGAATCCAGTGGATCGGGATCCCGATCCTACCAATCGAACATGCCCTGAGGTCCTCAGGCTCCATATAGTGCTCTATGTCCAGTGGCCAGAGCCAGTAATGCAATGATCACACAGCAATGACGTAACCAAGTCCTTTTCCAACGGCGGAAATGGACTTGGTTGCGTCATTGCTGTGTGATCATTGTAAACTATACATTGTAGGTGGCTGGTTTCTCTACCCAAACGTTCCGCTGAAAACAACGCGTCATACAGTGTGCAGTACGTCACACCTTGAGAGACCTATGCCAGCTCTGCACTGCATAAGAACGTCACAACGCATAGGCACCTAAGTGCTGCACAGGGCAAGATGTGGGTGATGATGAGCATTGGCTCGTAATCACAAACCCATCACAGAATCCTGACACCTAGCTGAATTGAAGACTTTGGTTCCAGAGAATACAAAAACAAACAAACAGAAAGGCAGTGGCAGAGGCAGAGAGAGATAGATAGAGATAGGGAGAGCGAGCGAGAGAGAGGGAGAGAGAGAGAGAGGAGAAAGGTAGCGAGAGACAGAGAGACGGGGGGGGGGGGGGAGATCAAAGTAGACAGCATCAAACTTTGCTACCATGGCAACATGATACACACACAAAGACAACATGCGAGACAACACACATACCGGGTCCATGCCGTAGTTCCTTAACACAGCGTTGCCGTCAGGGAAACAGGGAGCAGGGGATGTCGAATTACTCACAGGGCACGGCGCTAGCAATGCCAAAGTTACCAACAATAACAAGAAACAAAACCAAAAAACAATACACGTTAGAACCTATACGACGCTGACAAGTGTTTCACTTCAAAGGCAGCTCATAACACGAGCCACACATACTGATTGCACTTGGGTTTTTTCCCCTCCCCCGGGCCAGGGGACCAACCATGGTCAGTTGCTGTGTGCGTGCGTGTGTGTGTTTGTGTGTGTGTGTGTGTGAGAGAGAGAGAGAGAGAGAGAGAGAGAGAGAGAGAGAGAGAGAGAGAGAGAGAGATAGAGAGAGAGAGAGAGATAGAGAGAGAGAGAGAGAGAGAGAGAGAGAGATAGAGAGATAGAGAGATAGAGAGATAGAGAGAGATAGAGAGAGAGAGAGAGAGAGATAGAGAACAAAGGAAGAGGGAGGACTTCTTACGTGTTTCAGCATTCTGAAATTCATTGATCATCATAGCATGGAAGGAATACTTGATGAAGCTGATCTTTTCTATCCAGATAAAGTAGACCGGAGTAGAGCTGCACACACACACACACACACACACACACACACACACACACACACACACACACACACACACACACACACACACACACACACACACACGTACACACACACACACGTACACACACATACACATACACACACGTACACACACACACACAAGCACACACACACACACACCTCAGACCTGCCCATCGCTGAAGCGATGATAGCGAACAGCTATGTTAGACATTGCAACTTGTGCTGGGATTACACAATTCAACAGCTTGCAAGGCTGATGAATTGACCGCCACTAATTTTAGCCTGGTATCCACCACACAGCTGATTGAAGTGGCTTTTTTGGCGAGTGTATCCCTATTTTTCATTTTTTTTAAATTGAAAAATATGGATTCACTCACACACCTCAGACCTCAGACATGCCCATCGCGGGAGCGATGATAGCGAACAGCTATGTTTTAGACATAGCAACTTGTGCTGGGATTACACCATTCAACAGCTTGCAAGGCTGATGAATTGACCGCCACTATTTTTAGCCTGGTATCCACCACACAGCTGTTTGAAGTGACTTTTTCTGGCCAGCGAATCCCTATTTTTCATTTTTCCATTTTTTTCTTTTCACTCACACACACACACACACACACACACACACACGCACACACACACACAGAAAGTGAATTTTCAGTGGCTGCATGTCGTTACATAGAATCTTGCCAAGCCATGTCAGTGCCACTTCGGTTACGACACAGTGAACTCAAGCTTTACAGTAGGTAAAATCAATGATAACACACTCAGCAGAACATGTTATCTGGTACAAGTGCACCCACCCCTACTTATCCGCACATCAACAAATACTCGCCCACTTCCATACCCGCACGCACGCACTCACACACACACACACACACACACACACACACACACACACACACACACACACACACACACACACACACGACACCACTCAGTCGTCGCTTACTCGGAGTTGAGAAAGAGGCCACCGAACAACATCAGTGGAATGACCAGGGGCGGCATCAAGGCAAGCGCTACAGTTTCATCTCGAGCAATGGCTGATATGAGGTAGGCTGCATGGCAGGCACAACACAGCAGTAACACACACACACACACACACACAGCAATAACACACACACACACACAGCAATAACACACACACACGTACACACACATACCCAGACACACGGACGCAGACACATGCACACACATGCACACCCATCAGGAGAGAGCGAAGAAAACCAAAGAGTGGACCGGAAAAACAGGGAAGCGGATAGCTAAACAGACGGAGACACAAATACAGATATGCCCATACCCCCCCCCCCCCCCCCCCCCAATACACCTACACCCTAGTACCTATCCACCCTCACATATCCCCCCCCCCCTCTTTATACGCACCCGCACTCACACTACACAGAACCACTCTTGGTCCACAACTTCAAGGGAAATGGTTATAAAATAATTGATCGATTCAGAGCACGAAGAAAGAAAAATGATGGGGGTCGGAGAGAGAGAGAGAGAGAGAGAGAGAGAGAGAGAGAGAGAGAGAGGGGGGGGGGGGGGGAGATAGAGATAGAGATAGAGATAGATAGATAGAGAGAGAGAGAGAGAGAGAGAGAGAGAGAGAGAGAGAGAGAGAGAGAGAGAGAGAGAGAGAGAGAGAGAGAGAGAAGGGGGGGGACAGGCTGGGAGGAAAATGAAACACATTTCCTCACCATATGACTCTGCACTGAAGGTGGTCAGAATAGATATGAAGACGGCAAAGAAAAAGCGATCCACATCGCTGTTGAGTCCTGTCGGGAAAAACAAAAACAGATACGCACATGTACACAGACCCATACGCGTGCACACACACACACACAAACACATGTGCAAACACGTACACACACGTACACACACACACACACGTGGACAGCCGCAGCAAAAGGGGCATTCAAAACCGCACAAGTACTAAGAGTCAAGGATAGCTCTGACTTGGAGCCAGAGACAAAGACAACTGAACATGCAAGTGAAATCCCCATGGCAAAAAATGTTCACTGCTAATGCAACACCCCACCCGTTTGAATCACATCTATACAGCAGCCGGAGGTCACCATGACAACCACTCACCAATCATCCAGTAAGCCAGGGTTATGAACACAAACGGCAGGACAGTATTGAACGGCACCTGGGCAGAAGAAACATTTTTAAAAGGCATTATCAGCATTGCCGGTTGACACTGGAAAGCCAATGAGCGACTAACTGAACTTGCTGCACATTGGCAATACCTCTATTGTGTGAATGGTAGAGTAACGAAGGCATGTTCATCTTAACACAGCACCAATCAAGAGTCCAGAACCAATAACAAGAGTGCATAAACAAGAGTATGCAACTGTGGTTATGGGTCAGTGCACGGCGCGCTGCCTTCATTACGTAACCTGCCTCCGTCACGCTCTGAAAGCATACACTCAAATCCACAATTTCTCGTACGAGCCCGACCATTTTTGCTCGATTCGTTCCAGCACCTACGCGATCTTTAAATTTTGCAGCGTGAACTCAAGTTTCATATTTCGAAGTACAAAAGTTCATTTCAAACCAGAAGGAAAGTGCGGTGTTTGGTTTTCTGCAGTGTGCGGACTGCAGCTGAATGATGTAATGAAGGCAGTGCGCCACGCATCTGGCCCATAGAATAGAGATCACAGTTGCATACTCTTGTTTACGGCAGAGAGCAATTGCAAGCTTGTCTTGGGTCACAATAGTAAGACCAAGACTCGTTCACAAACACACACACACACCGACACACACAAACACACACGCTTGCAATGGACTGCAAGTAGGTAAGCCACGCACATATCCAGCCAAGTGAAAGCCAGCAGTTGTGGTGTGAGGTGGAGTGACTTACTGCAGCTAGTGACTTGGTCATAACATAGATGCTGGTGCGATACATGCGGTTAGTATGTTCTCGAATGAACACGGGTAATTCCAGTGGGATAGTTTGCACCTGTGAGTATGCGTGCACGTGTGTTGAGGGATGAAGGCAAAGCGTTAGTACACCTATATGTACATGTAAACACTTCAAAAATGGTTCACAACCCCTATGGGATGGAAACAGTAGAGAGGGAGAAAGAGAGGGAGAGAGAGAGAGAGAGAGAGAGAGAGAGAGAGAGAGAGAGAGAGAGAGAGGAGAGGGAGAGGGAGAGGGAGAGGGAGAGGGAGAGGGAGAGCGAGATAGAGACTTGCCACACACGTGTGCACAAGCGCACACTCACACACAGACACACACTCCGACGCGCGCACACACACACACACACACACACAAACACGCACACACACACACACACACACACACCTGGGGCACTACGGTATTGACCGTTCCACTATTTGCCCCAAGTACTCTGTGATTCAATAAAATGCACAGATTTGGGCTCTAAATTTCCAAAATTTTCGGATTAGCCATCCCTCCCCCCTCGAGTAAATTGTACTTCAGATGGCTGACCGTACCACACTAAAATACCTTCCGACGCCCCTGCACACACACCCACACCCACACCCACACACACACCCACGCACACACACATACACACACACAGACACACACACACACGCACAGACAGACACGCACAGACAGACAGACAGACACACACACACACACACACACACACACAGACACACACACAGACACACACACACAGCATGACTGCAAGGACTTACAGCAGGGAAGATGGTACCAAAACTCATTTGCACAGTCAGGAAAAACAGAGCACCGGCAACGTTCTGGACTCTCTTACTATCGTTCTCCAGTTGCAGGAAGATCAGGCCACATAATATACCCAGGAACTGTACAGTATATATGCCAAACACGACAACAACAGAACGTGAGCAATGAATCAGCAACTATGCGCAACAAACCACAGTTTAAAAAGCACATCGTAGACAGCATACCATCAAAGATGGTCAGGAACCAGTTCACTACATCACAGATGGTCAGGACCCTGGATCAGTACATCATAGATGGTCAGGGCCCTGGATCATTATTACATCATAGATGGTCCGAAACCCGGTTCATTACATCACAGATGGTCAGGACCCTGGATCATTACATCATAGACGGTCTGGAGGAGCGGATATTGCTCAATGAAGGGATCATCACAGTTAATTTCATGCTAACACTGAGTAACACATGCGACACAAACCAGGCAAGTCCTGGAGGTGACTGATAACCAGTGTGATACACACCTGTTGAACTACAAAACAGACAATACACGTAACAGTTTCACCCTGTTCCTGTCACATGTCACTTCTATTCTACACCTTGCACTCCCCACTCTACACTCACTAGCCCCCCGCGTAATATGCCGGCATTTTTTTGAGCATTTTCGGTACAATCCGCGAACCCAGCACTTCGGGCTCGTGATGCAGCATTTTGGGGGAAACGGAGCACTTGGCGTTGTGTATCAAAATTGAGAGAAGAAAAACTTCCCAAACAAGAACGTCACTTCCGCATTCCATGGGTTAGCTTCTTGTTGAGTAGTTTATGAATTGTTTACCATGGCAGACTCGAGCAAGTCTCTTATTGAGTGTGTTTCGGATGACAGTGATGAAGATGAAGACACTGTAGAGAGCGATTCTTGCAAAAAAAGTGAGCATTTTCCGAGCATTTTTGGCAAGGTTTACGAGAATTTCCCAAAAGCATTTTCAGCAAAGTTTCGGGCATATTACGCCGGGCCCTAATCACACCTGCCAACACATCCGGGAGCCTAGGAGGGCACACGAAAGAAACCACGCATCGTCGCCATGGCCACTTACTAGGGTCTGTGACACGCGGACCTTGACGATGAGCGGCTCGCGGACGGTCGTCACCCAGGATCGCCATACCAACGCTTTGGCCTGGACGAAGATGGATTCCTTAGGGGTGTTGCTGGAGGCAGAAGTTAAAATAAGTAATGAAACATCTCAGTGTGATCAACCTCCCAAAGGCTGTAAAACATCTTTATAAGAGAGGCACAAAGTAGGGCAAGTCCTCTCCGCACACAAAGTGCTCAATACCCGGGAGAGCAGAGCTTCCTTCCAAGTAAGGTGGAACAACATGTTGTTGCAACTCAGAGTTTCACACTTGTGCAATCATCAGGCAAAAATTATGACCATAATTTTCAACCAAGTTCCAGACCATAAAAATTTTCGCCTGGTGATCACGCAAGTGTGAAACTCGAGCTGTGATAAAAAAATTCTGCTCCACCTGACTTGTATAAGATAGGTATCCGAGGGATGCACTTAGTGTGCAAAGAGTGCTCAAAAGGCCGAGGAGGCAGAGCGCAGAACAGTCAAACAGTGCGGGACAGAAAGGCTCTGTGGTTGTAACTCAGGAACTCATGGCACAACCGTGCAATCACCAGACAACATGATAATGGTGCGTATGCTGGTCTTAGTGTGGGGACAGCTCTACACTGCTACATTAACCATGCTGACTATGCATCACAGGGTACAGCGAAAATCGAAATGCCTAAAAAACTGAAATTCAAGGATTTTCAGGACAAACTATGCATTTTCACCAGATTTAGAGTTTTTTCAGTGTAATCTTTCTTTATCGGGAATTTGTTGAGGTTTTCAAGGGCTGTACGGACCCTGAGAGCCTTTCTGTCCACTGCTTGACTGTACAAGAGAGGTAGGTGTAGTCTAACTAGTTATTCTATATCCAAGTGGACCAGCACTGGTCAACTACAGGGCTGATCCATGAAATCCAGTCCATACACTCATGTACGCGCCGGGCGTTGCGCAGCCCTAGACCTGCGAACACTGGGCTTCGAACTGGTGCACGGCGCAAGCTTGAGTGCCGCGACTGGATTTCATTGAGCAGCACGGTACATTAACCAGAGTGTGCAACTCTGTACATATGCCTAATAAAGACTTGGAAAATATCTCTCCTTCGCCCGGCTTCGTTTAAGTCCGTCTTCGCCCTAAATCCTGGACTATGAAGAGTGATATGTGGAGAAGAATCCCCAACTGTGGCTATGGGTCAGTGTGTGGTGCGCGGCCTTCATTACGTAACTTGCCTGCATCAGCTGCATGTCCTGTACTCATGCACTCAAACTCACAATCTCTCGTATCAGCACATCTGTCCATTGCTCAATTCGGTTGTTACTTAGTTTTGAGGCAATGCCACCGTCAGGTACATAATTATACTAATCAACGGATAGCCAAATACATGTAGGTGGGAGCCTAAACGGCTTTGTAATTGTGACACGGACCGCTGCTAAGCCCCTGACGCAGACACATACAGACACATACAGACACACACACACACACACACACACACACACACACACAGATAATTACTACTCACAGGAGATGGCAATCTTACCTGGCATGGAGAGACAGTGCAGAGGCAGTGGATGCAGTGCGCACCTGAGAAGAAAAGCAACGGCAGGTGTATTTGTCAGTCACAGCATCATCACAAGCACCGCAGCCTCAACCATCACCGCAATCGTCACCGCCACCACCATGGCCAGGATCACCACCACCCAGGTGATTAGAAAGGTCAAGCCATTTAGCTAGAGATGCTTTGTTAAAAGTTGACTTCGCTGATCAGCACTGATTTTTGAAATATGAGGCACACACTCACACGTCCACATGCACAAACACACGTTCACACACACACACACACACGTTCACATGCACACACACACACACACACACACTCAGACGCGTTCACATGCACACGCACACACACGCACACACACACACACACATTAAAACACACACACACACATTTTTAAAAAACACACACACATTAAAACACACACACACATTGAAACACACACACACACGAAAACACACCATGGGAGTTCCCGGCTTGTCCTCCAAGTCTGCTGCGTCCAGTGCGCCGGGGACGGCTGTGTCTGACTCATTGCCAGGGTCACTGTTCTTGCTGGTGGCCTGCGTCTCAGCTTCCGCAGCCGCCTCAAGATCGGCCTCGTATTGCCGTGACGATATGCTACGTACATCTTCGCAACATTTCATCTGCTCCATTGTAGGCTGTGCTTGCTCATCAACGCTGGCCGGTGCTACCACCACCTTCGGGGTGCTGATGCCACCAATGTCCTAGAGGTAGGCAAGAGAGAGAGAGAGAGAGAGAGAGAGAGAGAGAGAGAGAGAGAGAGAGAGAGAGAGAGAGAGAGAGAGAGAGAGAGAGGGAGAGGGAGAGGGAGAGGGAGAGGGAGCGAGAGAGAGAGAGAGAGAGAGAGAGAGAGAGAGAGAGAAAGAGAGAGAGAGAGAGAGAGAGAGAGAGAGAGAGAGAGAGAGACAGACGGAGAGAGAGAGACAGAGAGAGAGAATTCGCAGTCAAGTGACCACTGCGCTCCAACAAACAACACCTGGAAAGTTTTCTAAACACACTTGAACGCTACATGTTGCACTGCGACAAAAAAGACTGCACGCACGCCATTCATGTCTTCTGGATATTGGCTATTGATAGTGCACACCAGCTTACCCCATCGGTATTGGAGGTGCGGGCATTGCTTGCAGGATCAAGCAAAGCATTATGTAGCGATGTCTTCTTGCTGACTTTGGCCGCTGGAAGCCGATACGCCAATCTGTCCCTGTCACGGAGGTCTTCCTCGACTTCGGCAAAGGCGTCGTTGATTTTCTGCAGAAGAAAGTGGACACGGTACGGAGCAACCGCACATTTGTACAGCGTGGCTGAATGGGTGTGGTTGTACAGCGTGGCTGAATGGGTGTGGTTGTACCACGTGGCTGAATGGGTGTGGTTGTACAGCGTGGCTGAATGGGTGTGGTTGTACCACGTGGCTGAATGGGGGTGTTTGTGTGCGGCTGGTAAACACTGCATTAAAACTGTGCATTGCCCCCCCCCCTCCTTTTCCTTTCTCCGTAGTCTGTTCCTTTTCTTTATTCCCGTCCACTCTTTCCCTCTCTCAGTGACGACAATATAACTAACTTGGTTCGGGTACGTGTCTTTAGCTCACTGAAAGTGAAGACAACAACAACAACACATTACGTTGATGTTTCCAAAATGTTTCTACCTACTGACCACATAGCTGCCAGGGGATAGGGAAAGCGGAGTAAACAGAGTAAAACAAGCTGACTCATGCAAGCATATGCGAGGAAACCATCTGCAACCCGGTACCGGACACTGGTCAGGCAAAATAATCTGACAGTATCTCGACAGTAACACCACACCTCATAACACAACACGTCGGCCATGATGTGTATATAACCGCCGAGGAGTGGTGTTGCTGTCAAGATTGAAGGTAATTGATGTTGGTAACTCCTCCACACATGGACTGCAGCATATCAAAGATATGTACGCTCTGGGCTGCAGCACTCTGATACCTCACTCTGCAGTGTTCCACAGTACACTCTGATACCCCACTCTGCAGTGTTCGACAGTACACTCTGATGCCCCACTCTGCAGTATTCCACAGTACAGTCTCATACCCCACTCTGCAGTATTCCACAGTGCACTCTGATACCTCACTCTGCAGTGTTCCACAGTACACTCTGATACCTCAGCTATCCGGACATCGAAGTTACGGGCACTTCAGCTCACCGGACACCCTTTGGACGAGTTTTAGTGGAAATATTACTACTCTTTTGTAACTTTTTGGTGGAAAGAGTGACGCCATGTGCCATATCTATGGCTTTTCCCCATTAAAATGTATGTGATTCGGAGTTACGGACGTTTCAAAGTCACGGGCAGTGCCCGGTCCCGGACCGCCTGGAAACGAGTTATGAGTGTATAGTCAGACCTCGCTTATCCGGTCCTCTTTTATCCGGATCCCTCGCCATCCGGAAGAAAATTGTTGGTTCCCGATTTACAGCATATGTCATGCATACATACAGTATGTGTGTTCGATTATCCGGTTCCCTCGGCTATCCGGATATTTTCGTGGAAAACGGATGTGTGCGGTTAAGCGAGGTCTGACTATACTGTGAAAAAAAGCCTAATAATTATTCCAACAGATTCTAAGACCAACCGTTCCATAGGCGGAATCATGTAATAGCTGGATATAAGGCGACTGGCAGTCCTGATGGCAGACACAGAGTGGGTGCTGATGGCAGGCGTACGCAGTGGGTGCTGGTGGCACAGAGAGTGGATAGAGTGCCGGTGATGAAGACAGTGCTGGCGGTACAAACACTAGCAGAGATGCTAGTGTTGGTGCTGGTTGCACAGGTATTGCTAGTGCTGGTTGCACAGAAAGTGGCAATGCTGATTGCACAGAAAGTGGCAATGCTGGTTGCGCAAGCAGTGGTGGTGGTGGTTGAAGTGGTGGTGATAGTGGCACAGACAATGTTGCCGGTCCAGACAGAGGAGGTGCTGGTAGCAAAGCTAGTAGTAATGCTGGTGGTACAGATAGTGGCGATGCTGGTGGCACAGACAATGTTGATGATGGTGGTGCTGGTGGTACAGACAGTGGCGATGCCGGTGGCACAGACAGTGATGGTGGTGGTAGTACCAGCAAGCACGAGGGTGTGCAAGGAGGCAGTGTGCTCCGGTGTACACACTGCACGCCAATCTGACCTTGACTTTGGCTTTAGACTCCTCTTCCTTGCCCGGCACTATAGCGAGAGTGTGTACAAAGAAGTCAGCAGGGTTGTAGTGCGGTGGACACGAAAAGTCAAGCCTAGTTGGCAACAAACAATTCATACACCAACAGGCAGACAGGGAGGTAGGCAGGCACACATGCACACATGCACACACACACACACACACACACACACGCACACACACACACACACACACACACACACACACACACACACACACACACACACATATAAATAAATCCCTCGAAAATGGAGCCAGCCTGAAATCCCAACAAGCTTGCAAACACTCATAGAAGAGATTTGAAATTCTCCACAGATGGACATTGAACCAAGCAGAGGAGGGAGACATCTGATGCCTGATCATGGGGTGGTGGCGTCTCACGGAAGCGGAAAGGTGGTTCTTGACCAGGGAGTTGTACGATTCCCTGTTCTTGACCTGCCCGGTACGCGAACCCGTTGAATTTATTTTATTATTTTAGAGGAGAGAGAACGTGTAGTGAGTCTGAGTTTCACGCACAAGTAGGCGACCATCAGACAATAGTCAGAAGCTCTGCCCTTGGACATCCAGCACTCTATTGGACAGCCTAGAACCGTTCTGTTTTACAGTTGGACATTGTACAGGAAGCAACTGATGAATAGTGTACACCAGCTGACCAACCAACATTGCATGACATCAAAACCAGTGGTTGCTACCTGTACACCCCCCCCCCCCCCCCCTCTCCTCAACACACATGCACGCACACACAGAGAGACACACACACACACACGCTCACACGTGCACAAACACAAACACAGACACACACACACGCACAGAATGTAACTCACGTGGCAAAGTGGCTTACAGCACCATCCACTGATCCAATGTAGGCCATGCGACCTTCTGCCAGCAACATCAACCTGCAAACACCGTAACACACAAACATGTGTAGAAAGAAGACCGCATATGCACAGCCACACAGAAACACACCCACAACCACACATGTACAAATGCAGAGACTGAACACATTGGATTGGATTGGCATTGGTGCATTTAATGTCGAAGACCAAACAGCCAGTGCTGCTTTATTACATGAGATGGACTACAGGCACACATGAAATTATAACTACTAGCCGTCCATACTGCGATCGAGCTCAGAGAAAGCCGTCCTACATGAGGCAAATAGATTGCCACAGCCGGAATACAGTCAGACCTCGCTTATCCGGTCCTCTTTTATCCGGATCCCTCGCCATCCGGAAGAAAATAGCTGGTTACAGATTTACAGCATACGTGATGCATCCAACATAACCGGTGTTCGGTTATTCGGTTCCCTCGCCTATCTGGATATTTGTGTGGAAAACGGATGTGTGCGGTTAAGCGAGGTCTGACTGTATACCTAAAAACAGTTGAGCCTACATCAGGAATGATCCCTTAGTATCCACAGCACTGACCAATGCAATCCAATCAAGCAAGTGAATGCCACGCCGGGCGCTGTGCAGCCCTAGACCTGCGAACACTGGTACGGTGAACTGGCGTAGGGCGCAGACTTGAATGGCACAATTGGATTTCATTGAGTAGAACTGCACATATTTTATGTATATCATAAATGTAGAGCCGAAGGATTTATTGCAATTACATACCAGTATAAAAACCGAGGTCCGCCGAGGTTTTTATAACTGGTTAGTAATTGCACTAAATCCTGAGGCTACTACATTTATGATATACATAAAATATGTTGACCTTCACTTTCCCTAAAAAGGAGTATTTTATAAACAGTATTTATTGGCCCTAGTGGTATTTTATAAACAGTATTTATTGGATCAAAAGCCAATAAATACTGTTTATAAAATACCACTAAGGGGCCGTCCGGGGTTACCGATTGTTTTTACAAAACGAAAAGTTTTAGTATTTTTCAGCCCCCACCCACCCACCTTTTCTGCAGGTAAAACGAATTCCAATAAAATATTGATGTCAATTTTCGACACCCAGAAGTAACTGGGCATTCTCCATCAGCATTCAATAATTATTTTCAAAACGAAACTCCATCAAACCCACCCACCCACAAACGAAAACATTTCGTTTTGAAAATATTATTGGTGACCGTGGACGGCCCCTAAGGCCACACCAAGTTTTTTCATTGTTTCTCGTCACCGCGCGCGTACCTTTCTTGAGGATTGGACCAAAAAAAATCTCGCGTCCCGGTAAACACGCATAAAAAGGCGTTGTAAAAGTACGCGCGGCGTCAAATCTGGAGTGCAGTGCTAGTGCACGAACCGAAGGTTTCTGTTTTAAATTTTAGCACAAGCGCGCACTTGGCTGTTCTTTTATGTACCCCTTGTATAATAACTTTGGTTTGCTTTCTTTCCTATTTAAATAACATGCAACACTGGACTTCCTCACCAGAGGCCGGTGCAGGAGCCTGGTTTTCTGGCTGTATGTTGCAATTGACTGTCACGCGTGGTGTATAGTCTGATTTTAGGTCATAAATTGGGCCTTTGTAGTGTAAATAGCAGTTTTTGTTTTTCAAACCCTATTTTGTTTTTTTTCCGCCCGCCCGCGTTCCTTTTGAGATTTTCAGGTGACGAGAAACAATGAAATAACTTGGTGTGGCCTAAGGCCAATAAATACTGTTTATACTCCTTTTTAGGGAAAAGTGGAGTGCTACATGGAAAAGTGCAGTGGTATTTATTGAGTCAAAGCAAATTTATTTGAATTTGATACTGTTGATGGTGTGGTCACTAATGAGTGTGGGTATTTATCAAAGGTCAATGAATATGCTACAACAAAGTATTCCCCAAGCTACCATTATAGCAGAAAAGTGTGACGTTTCAAAGCAATGACAGCCATCATCATCACACTGGTACAATCTAACACACCGTGGATAGCAGTTCATGCAGAGACCAGCGCGACATCTCCATTACTTGACTGAAGTGCGTTTCAAAAGTCCAGAACTCAGGTTTCACAAAACCAGTAGGCCAGCATCTATACCACATAAAATCTATGATCACTTGGTGTATAATTTTTTTGAAATTGGGCGTTGGTTATCCAATCGCTTAGAAATTTATATGAGAAAAAATGGGCGACCTGCCAGAGCAATATCCCGAAGAAACTTCTCAAAATGCTCGAACAAAATTTAAATTATTTGAAAAAGTCTAGAGGTCTATACTTTTGAAACGCGCTATAGTATCCCATATACCAGCTGCACATCTGTCACATGACCATACAGGCCAGCCATGTTGGTTACAACTCCACTCAACCCTTGCATGTACGGGTCACATGATGAAAACCATGTAGGTTCCACTGGCCACATGTCAAACTCTCTTCCTGTCAAAAAATGTATACACAAAATCACTCCACGAGTCTGGTAGCAGATGTGCCATTGACCCTGACTATGTCCAGTGTCACCCTTATGTTCCAGTCTGTGTACAAAGCACAGGGCCCTGAGTGGAAGTATTGGTGTTCCAGTACCATACCTATATACATACATGTATTTGCGGCCAGGACACTCAGACTTAGACTCAGACACACACTTGTACTTGCTCACTGCCATGACTGGTCACACGAGTCTCCCCCGAAGAGGGGAGACAGATTCAAAAGGAATATTAGAAAGATGACACAATTGGCCATTGAACCGCCCAACGGCCGACACCCCCTGAAACCCCCAAAACTCTGGGTGGACATGAAAATGATTCCACTTATGGGCTCACCACACCTCAGTAAGTGGGTGAGGACAAGGTGCAGAGAAAGGATAGACACACACACACACACACACACACACGCGCGCGCGCGCGCGCGCACGCACACCCACCCACATACACACGTACACACGTACACACACACACACACACACACACACACTCACCTGTTGAACATGGAGAAGACCTCGGATGGCGGCTGGTGAATAGTACAGATGATAGTGCGACCACTGGCTGCCAGCTCTTGCAAGGACTGTACCACGGACATGGCCTTGAACGAATCCAAACCACTGGTTGGCTCATCAGCAAACAACAGCGGTGGATCCTCCAGGATCTACACACACAATAACAGAAGCGAACCGAATTACTAAACAAGCGTTTTGGAGACAGCAGTTTCAATATAGCTACAAGGAGGACTAATTGTGCTGTTAGCATTCCTATATAACCGAATTTCCCCAATTATAAGTCGCATCCCCATTTTCACGTCTCTGTAGACTAGCCTCATTGTGCTACTTGAGTAATAGCCAAGGCGGCGGAATCAATCCGATTGGTCAGGCCATGGCCGGACCAACTCCTTTGCCACCAATGCATGTGTTTACCGCCGGGGGGGGGCACTTGTACCCGCCATATCACATGCAAAAAAGTATGAAAGGCTGTGGTATGGCCTGACCAGTCAAAAACTACTTCCGCCGGTTGCGAACGAGCCATATTCAATTGAAAGTGGCACCCCCTTCTTCGTGCTTGGGGTTTGTTGTGAAAAATGCGTGACTTCTAATTGGGGAAACCTGGTAGCAGGCCGTTGATAGCTGCAACGTATTTCCAGCAGAGATCCCCTTATGGCGCCCACACAGTATCATATTACGGTATTGGGATATACGGTACTGATATTACAAGGTTCAATGTTCCAACCAACGCACAACCACTACCATCACCACCACAAGCCACAACAGCAGTATTACCACGCTGCCACTACCAATCGGGAGTACCATCGTCCCCACAAGCCACAACAGCAATAACACCGCACTATCACTACCAATCGGGAGCACCGGCTTCAGAACGCGAGGGCGTGCGGTTTTCCGCTCCTGCGTCAGCTTACCTCGGACGCAAAGGCAAGACGCTTGCGCTCACCACCCGAGATACCCTGCACGGTGCGGTTATTACCGATCTGAGAGTTGGAACAGCTCTGCAGTCCAAGCTGTCAAGCACGCATAACAACAGAACACATACACATGCACATAAATAAATAAAATGATAATACATCAACACTATTACTTCAAGAAGTATTTTAAGATCAATAAAGTCATCATCGCCGTCGCAAAAGTCATACTACGGCAGCACAGTGATTGACGGAAATGTTTGGCGAGTGGCTGGGCGCTCTCGCAGTGTGTCACGGTACACATCACCATGGGAACGACTACAATGACGCAATGACACCCGTCATGTGACAAAATATCATGGTGGATACGTAATGACGGGCTGCATGACAAGTCCCAGGACAAATTGCTCGGAAAAAAGCGCCGTGTTTTCCGGGATCTCAAAAGCTCTGTCGTGATTGTTGCAACCTCCAACCCTCTACACACACACTCCTGGGCTACACCCCATGAAACGATTTCCGCCGAATATTCACCCAGAGGGGCATTATCCCTGTTGAGCATAAGCATGGTGTGTTTATCTACATGCCACACCCTATCTGTTTGATTTCTTACTGACTGAGAGTACCGACTCAAACTCTCCTTGCCTCGCCAACATGGGACCAGACCCCTGCTTGCAAGTACACATCTGCCATCATATCCGGAGCATAACTCGTGAATGAAATGCTGCTATCAAACCCCTATAGCCAGATATCTTGGTATTTCATAATGTCCAAACGCAAACGTATTACATCCATCTTCTGTGATGTATCGTTTTGTGTCCAATGGGGATAAAGCCTAGTTCACATTCGACACAACGCCGACGGTACGGGACGTAAGGGCTTGTCGGGAGGGCTGGGGTGAGCTGTAAAATCCTGTACGATTCGTACGACACGACATGCAGCAGTCGTTGCGACGTTCACCGTTGAACGGCGCGAGTCATAAGGCACGGTCCGTGACGGGGTGACTCTTGGACCTACTTACTCGTTTTTCGGGACTTCTTTTCAATTATATCTCCTTGAAAGAAGCGGAATCAAGTTCACAATACCAGTTTTTCGTGAAGACCAAAAAATTAGCCCTCAAAGTTGTGGCATTCAAATAATAGCCCCAGGAAATGATAGAATAGTTCGTCTGTCACGCTTCTGAACTATCCCTAAATACAGTAAGTGACATGAGATCTTATGTTGCTAAAATTCAACTCAAGTCCTGCTAGCCATTCTGTGAGTTATCATTGGAAGCGCAGTGTTCGAAATGTTAAACATTTCCAAGTACGAATCGGGAGCAGTCGGCGCACGACGCCGTCTCCTGTTCACACTCGAATTGCAGCCGTTTTGTACGCTTGCGTCCCCGTCTACGCCCGTCTACGGTATGAAAAGTTGGATCGATCCAACTCTTCCCGTCGCTTCCCGATCTGTACGGTAGTACGGTTGCGTTCCCGTTCCTGGTGTTCACATTGGACGCCGTCAGACCGTCCCGTCGCTTCCCGTCGATCCTTACGTCGCGTCCCGTTGCGCCCCGTCGAATGTGAACTAGGCTTAAGGCTATCTTATTAAGGTGGCTGGGGCGGTACAACTTTTTGGGAAATTTTTGACTGCATTTTTGAGTTTATTGGCAAAGCAGAGATGAAATTTGAAAATGTTTTCTGGTGAATCTCTGGAGAAGAGCCTTCTCTTGCTTCCTATAGTTTTATTTTTACTTTTGGACAAAATTTGAAAACGTTTTATGAAAGGTTCGTGTTATTTTTTCACGGACCTTTCATAAAACCTTTTCAAATTTTGTCCAAAAGTAGACACGCTCATTGGCATGTGTTCTCAGAAACAGGATTCAGACACGCGCATTGTGTTCTCAGTTTCTTATCGTGAAACAGGATCTGGTGCGAATGTCTGCAGCTGAATAGACAGTCTGTCTGAACATTTCGTGTGATTCTGTCATGTGACCAAGAGAGAACTTCCCATGGCAATGCACATAATATATGCACTCTCACAAATACTGTAATCCCCAAATTTTATCGACACCTAAACCTTCAGGAATTTAGCGAACCAATCAAAATCGCGTATGCATGCTTTGACCCCAACTGCCATATCTATTGGAAGTTCAAACTTGAGTTCAACTTTCGCTCCTTTTGGACGCCTGACGTTGTCATAATCGTTTACCGTGTTTTAGAGGAGAACCGTTTTCTTCTTGGTCTAGTTTTTCAGTTTACTAGTTTTGAAATTGTGTCTAGTTAGACCTTCTTTACTTTACAGTGTGATTTTTCTAATATCTTTCGATAATAGCACTTGATATGACACGGCACAGTTTATGATCAATTTGTTCTCCGTCGTGAGAGTTGTGATCGCAGCCACAACTGCCTTGGAGTGCAGTAGTATTTAAGACCCCTTTTTTACTCGTTTTGTCTGTTCGTGACATCCCCCCGGCCAGCCAGCCGTGTGCCGTTTCGATGTGTTCGCTGCCCACCGTGCCGAAAGCGTGCGTCAACGACTGAAAGATGCACCCATCAACTTTCATTATGTTCCAAGGTGAGCTCCAGTCATTGGACAAGGCATTCAATGACCCCCACAAAAAGGCATTCACGGCCGAGTTCGCTAACTGGTAAGCCAGGACAGTGAAGGCCACACTGGATGAAGGCAAGCCCGTGGAAATCGATCTGAAGACTTCAATCGTCAAGGACACAGACCCATACACACGTGCATATACAATTAGACACCATCTTACCTCGCCAATTACTTCTTCCACACGCTGATACCGCTGCTCCAGAGACAGATGGGTGCCCATTCTCAGCGTGGCCTAGGGGTAATGAAAAAGAACGCGTTGGAAAGAGGATTATTCGACTACTCCTATACAAACTGGCACCTGTACGTCTTACCCAACTACCGTATTTCCCCGCATATAAGTCGCACATTTACACAATATCCTTCCTTTAAGGGTGAAAGCGTTCTTACGGATGCGGAAAACTCGGCCTCTAGTCCGTGAATTTTCTTACACAATAAACTTCAGAAGAGCCCCTCAAACCCCGTTAGAAGGGACCATTCACTCCCTGCTTCCAAATGGGGGGGGGGGGGTACTTGCCTGGAATCGCAGATGCTCGCGGACGGTGAGCGTAATCAAGAAGAGATCCTCCTGCTGCACGTATGCGGAGATGGAGCCAATCTTCTTACCCGCTGGCTTGCCATTGATCAAGATTTCACCATTGACGTCCAAATTACCTAGGTTACGCCGTGACAGTGTGTTCAACAGTGTTGTCTTTCCAGCACCACTGAGAACGGGAGAATGTGTGTGAGAGAGAGGGAGAGAGAGAGTGTGTGTGTGTGTGTGTGTGTGTGTGTGTGTGTATGTGTGTATGTGTGTATGTGTGTATGTGTATGTGTGTATGTGTGTGTGTGTGCGTGCGTGCGTGCGTGTGTGTGTGTGTGAGATACAGAAAGAGAGAGAGAGAGAGAGAGAGAGAGAGAGAGAGAGAGAGAGAGAGAGAGAGAGAGAGAGAGAGAGAGAGAGAGAGAGAGAGAGAGAGAGAGAGAGAGAGAGAGAGAGAGAGAGAGAGAGAGAGAGAGAGAGAGAGAGAGAGAGAGAGAGAGAGAGAGAGAGAGAGAGAGAGAGAGAGAGAGAGAGAGAGAGAGAGAGAGAGAGAGAGAGAGAGAGAGAGAGAGAGAGAGAGAGAGAGAGAGAGAGAGAGAGAGAGAGAGAGAGAGAGAGAGAGAGAGAGAGAGAGAGAGAGAGAGAGAGAGAGAGAGAGAGAGAGAGAGAGAGAGAGAGAGAGAGAGAGAGAGAGAGAGAGAGAGAGAGAGAGACAGAGAGAGACAGAGAGAGACAGAGAGAGAGAGAGACAGAGAAAGAGAGGGAGAGAGGGGAGAGAGGGAGAGAGGGGGGGGGGGGGGAGAGAGAGAGAGAGAGAGAGAGAGAGAGAGAGAGAGAGAGACATACAGAGAAATATGATTATATCAGCGATACTACAGTACCCTGCTAACAAAATAGAGAGGCCCAAGGCTAGCACTTGTTCTGATTTTTCGAAAATGCTCTGATTTCTGCAAGTCGTTCCGACAAGCCGCCCTTGACATCACGAAATGATAGTGTCAGTATGACTCCCTATGAGGCATAGAGTTTCTAAAATATCTTCTGAAGAATTTCATTCTAGTCGCCCTACGTCCAACCCCCCCCCCCCCCCCCCCCCACACACACACATACGCGCTTGCGTTCATTCACGCACCCACTAGACAGCACGCTCTGAGTCAAGCTTGCACATCTTGCTTGGACTGGCAAGTTAAGACGTAGCCCCCCCCCCCCCCCCCTTACAGCCTGCTTCCCTCTCTGATAAGCCGGAGATCGACGGGATACAAGTGAGGTGTAAGCAGAGGAGCAACAACTGTGGCACTGACTCATCAGCTGCAAACAGTGAGTGCCACAGCAGCCGATGCGTTCTGTGGAAGACGTTCTGGAACAAGATACTAGCAAGAGTTCATAACCCCCAAGAGTGTGCAACTCCTGATCAGTCCCTGTATGGAAGAACGCTCGGCGGAATTCCTTCATTGCGTCATTTTTGGTGCAGTGCGATGAGTCACGCCGATGAATTCTTCTAAAATTTACAGTCAAACCAGGATGCTTCCCCAGGGTAAACTGCCTAAACTGCAATTCTAGTCTGAGTCTGAGCCTCAACGACAAGAAGCAAGGCAAAAGTAAAACAAAGCATACGATCCTAAAGACAAAACTATTTATTTTTTCGATGCAATGGTGACTCTTCGGCTTCATCGCCTTCTTCTTTCACCAGTGCAGTCAGTCTCTTCAAGAACAATTTCTTCCCCAGGCCATCGGCATATTTCCGGTGCTTTCCTCGAAGATGATTTCAAATGGTTGAGGAACTTGGGAGACTGATGATACGTCGAAGGAGCATTTTTCGGCTGAGTTGCACAGCTATCAGAATGATTGTCCTCGACGGCAATGCAATATTTTTAACAGCGTCCTCACTTCTTCCTGTCGCGATGTCCATGGATTCTTGGAGAAAGAGTTTGTTTTTGAGAAAGTACGACTTGGACGTAGATCTACGTCCGAAATGTCTTCAAAAAAAGCTTCGAAAAGTCGAGGCTACAGCCTTGAGTTAGGAGCGGTTCAGGGTATAGTTTCCAGAAATCGCAAAGAACCCAAATTTACCTCGGATGACAAGCTGCGCATGACGTAATGTAGGAATTTCGCCGAGCGCTGGGTCTATGCCCGTTGCACACTCTTGGGGGTTATGAACTCTTGATACTAGGGAGGTTTAGTCGCACGTAATCCGTGGGTACTTTACGTGTGTGTACCACGTGATACTCAGTGACCCACGTACAGACGTTTTCTGGTTCACGACATACCGTGTATGGAGGCTCACCCACGTTCCGCCAGAACGTGGGTGAAAATCAGAATGGAGCGCATTGTGCGAGCTGTGAGGGTGCTCAGCTGAAGAAGTTTCCGAAGCACGAAATCAAAATATTGGATGAGCTTCTTAGGCCCGGGTAGCTTCGTCTTTGACCAGGTTTGGGCTTTTCGCTTCATGCTTTTGTTTGTTCCGTGTGACTAAACACAACATTGCAACGTAGGTGCCCTTCATCCACTTTACGTGGATCACCCACGTACGCGTTTCCGTTATGTGGGAACTAAACCTCCCTACTTTGTGTACGATCGTACCTCGTGTTGCCCCAGGGTAGACGGTCAGCATCAGCATCGGTCTCTCCGAAAGCCAGCCTTGCAACTTTTGTTGCAATTGATCGGATTCACATAATACTATTATGTTGCCTGGCGATTTCACAGCGACTTCACATCTGTGATGTGCTGGAAATGCACAACTGCTTGTTCTTTCTCAGCCTGTCTGTGTCTGTCTGTCTGTCTGTCTGTCTGTCTACACAGTATCTGATACTGATATGACTACACAACAGCCTGTACATGGATGCGGCTAATGGGGTTTCTCGGCACTTGTGCCAGTGGTTGTGAGACTTATCCACTCACCCCCACCGTTAGGCGCTGCATCTGCCGCTAGGGTTTACCGGATGTTAGCGGTCGTCATGAGTTCCCTTCGGGAAAGGACACAATAATTTACTTTTACTTTTGTACCTGCAGGCTTACCTGGACCCCATCAGGGCGATAAGATCTCCCGGACGAGCCACGCCATTCACTGCGCAAGAATGAGCACATCACATTCACAGGGTCACACACACATACGCACACACACACGCACACACACACACACACACACACACACACACACACACACACACACACACACACACACACACACACACACACACACCGCATTGAGAGAGAACAGATCACGAAACCTATCCAACCTTGTCCTCGCTAACCCAGACTTCGAAGCTGTCGAATCTGTTATTCGCTGCTGAGTAATGCCACATTCTGTGTAGTGGTGGGAACGGGTAAATTATCATAATGATTACGTACTCACAACATTGTGAAATTTGACAAAAAAACATCACTTTATTTTCGTCGAATGTTGACAATGCTCTTTATTCACTGAAGACAATTTTCATGTCAACTGGGCATTCATCGCTTACCTTTCCTCAGAATAGGTCTCCCTTGCCGCTCTTCACCGGCCGAAGATCCCCCGCCGAACAATCGTTCTTTGATGCTAGGTTTAGGCGGTGGAACACTCACTCGGAGGTCATTCCACCTGAGAAAAACTTTCTTCCCCATGATAGCCGCAGGCCTGGCACTGGGCTACAAAGGATAAACTGTTTCTCTGCAGCGTTTTTGGTGTGCGCCTTTTGACAGCAAGCTTCTTGCCTTCCTTGCAACAAAACAGGGACGTGACAGCCTTCAACCACTAACTAACTTCAACTTCAAGTTCAAACGAACCAACAATCAGGTAGTACTTTGGGGCATGGGGAGAACGCTTCTCGTACTACGTTTTTCGCGTTGATCAGTTGACGTGGAAACTTCCAGAACGCGGCGCGCAGACTGCCGCAGAGCCGCAAACGTGGTGGTACATGTAATGGGATCGTGCGACCGCGCGGAGCTCCGAGCTCCGTCACTCGCGCTTGATCGCGCGCACCGGCACGCGGTACCGCGACCGTGGCGTCCGATCTGCGTGGTGGCCCTGGTGGGGACGTGGGCGGCACTGGGCGCGGGGCCGCGAGCGCAACAATTTTTTTTTTTTTTAGAAGTGCAAAGCAGAGCTGGAGTGCAGCCGCCCAATAGCGGACTGAAAACTACTGGTAGTAGGATGAAAAGAGCACAGACGAAGCCAATACAGACAAAACCAGAGGCAAATGGTATCAAATGCGAATGCCCGCCTCAGCAACCGCCAAGGTGGGAGGTGAGTCCAACTGCACCGGCCGAAGATTCCGGGATCCGCGCAAACACATCACGCTGGACCGGAGTAGGGCAAAACTCAATTTGCATCGAACCCAAGACATAACACAGCTGTATGCTTCTCCAGTCTTCGCGGCTTGAAGAGAAGCTATCCGCTTGTAGAGCGACTCCGCGTGTTTGCCCAAACCACCAGTGGTAGAGAATATGGCCGGAACAAACGACGAATGCTCTATGTCGCGGACACGTTGCTCGTAGCAGCGCCGCTTCTCCTTCTCGTGCTTGGTGTAGCAGGAAGCAATGGAGGTGGCGCGGTTTGAGGTCGCATGAGGATTGAAAACCCTCACATCGATGAAGGTGCGCTCAAACCGGCCACCCCAGATGCCACTTGCCGCAACGTCGAGACGGGCCTGCTCAGTCTGGATAGCGGTGCGATACCGGAACTGCTCCCCAGTGACCGGCTGCAGGTGGGGCTCCACGGAGACATTGTGAGCCACTCACTTCAGCATATGGGCAGTGAGGTCACGCACCTCATTGTGCCGCACCGACGGAAACCCCCCTGTGGGGCAAGACAAAGCGTGAGCGACTGAAAATGTGGCTCCACAGCTGCAAGATGATGGCAGTCGCTGTGGAAGCCCGCCGTAGCGCAAGTGGATTCCGTCGCGGAACTCACCCTTGGTGAGGGTCAAGCCAAGCCGCTTCAAGGGTCGACAGGTCAGCCAGGAAGAAGCTCCCTTCTCCGACGCTAGCGCAATGACCCGCTGCAACTCAGTATCCACAGATGAGGAAAGAAGCACAGCATCAGCCCGAACCGAGGCGTCAACTGTGTTCTTCGCTTGCTTCTTGGCAGCGCGTACATCGTCAATGGCAGTGCCTAATTCCATATCTTGGACCAAGATACGGCTTGTCAGGGGCGCGGTGATGTCTCGAGAAGACTGATATTGGGAGGCTCGCGACGATGGGTGGGGCAGCCCGAGACCGCCGAAGCGACACGGAAGAGCAAGGAGGCTGCGCTCCTGGGTATTCACTGGTCGTCCCAGAAGGGCAGGGATCAGCATGTTGGACACAGCATCATCAAGTGGAAGCAGGTGCTCATCCATAGCTGGCATGCCTCGGCAGAGAAAGGTCCACTTACCCTGTAGGCCATGGGTGTACGCGGCATACGCAGCTTGAGGCTGAGAGCGGGCATAGTCACTCAGCCGTTGGACCTGTGCGACCCACTCCTCGACCTTCTGCTGCACGTACTGCGTGGCGAACGCGGATGACCCGATGGCTGCACCAAGGTAGCGGCATCCATCTGCCTGGATGGAAACACCAGTACCAGCGAAAATCCGGATGGCCTCGTCGAGGAGTGGGGGCTTGACCACTAGGACAGACTTAGCTGGCTTTGGGAAGTAGCCATATTTGGGGCCCTTCTCCGTCAGCTGATCCCACCACACTCGGACGCTCTTCAGCTTGCCACCGGATCCGGCATCATCTGCATACCATGCCTGTACGGCTCCTTCTGTTGCAACAGCTTTCATAAGTGGGATGATGCCAATGGCATACATCGCCATGGCGACGGGGTCGCCCTGTGTGGTACCCTCACATGACAAGATCTTCTCGCCGCCGACGAAGAGGCTAGCGGGCTTTCGGTAGGTGTTGATCACGAGTTTGGCGAGTGATGGGCATAGGTGCTGGATGTTACGGAGGCACACTTCGCGATTTAGGCAGTTAAACGCGTTGGTGGCGTCAGCCAGAAGAATGGCTTCAGTGGAAGGGTCATCAAATACGTCGCACATCTCATGGATTGCCGCCTCTATGCCGCTATCTTGCCCCGCACATAGCTGGAGACTGCAAGCAGCTTCCATGATTTCGGGGCGGATCACCTCGAGGATGGCCTTCCCCACAATGCGCCGCAAGACTTCCCCGATGCCTATTGGCCTGACTCCAGGGCATTTGTCGAGTGGAATCAGCCTGCATGCAGTGTAGGCGTCTAGTGACGCCGGGTCCACGTACGTACAGGCAGGAAAATGGGGGGATGGCTCGTACGAGTACGATTGGTACTCGTAGATCTATGATTCGACTCGCACCGACCATGCATGGGCATGGCATGCATGGGCCAACGTTAGTCTGTGCTGCATTTTCACCAAGTATTTTTTTTAAATAGATACTTTTTTACTAGTATGGTGTGCACTGTGCAGGCCGGCCAGGCGCTAGGCTGCATGCATGCATGCCTTGTGTCATGTAGTAACTGGCATGGTAACAGGCAGGCGATACGACCATGCATCTGATCATCTCCAGCTCCCGTTGAAGGGAGGGCTATAGGGACCGGAGTCAATCTCTACAATCCATTGCTGGTGAGTCAGTCCACTTGCCCCTCTCTGCTTGTCGGTGACCATGGTGACAATGCCATCAACAAGAGAGAGGCAGCACAGAATATATCAGACGTGCCACCATTGCTATGACATTGTCATGGCATGGCAACACATGCCGGGTACTTGTAGCGGTACATTCATCACCTATAATACTACATTGTAGAGTAAAGCTCTTCACCGTTCCTGTGACGAAGGCCAGTCGGTCATGCTGGCCGCAGCACGGTACTACACACACACACACACACACACACACACACACACACACACACACACACACACACACACACACACACACACACACACACACACACACACACACACACCTTGACCTTGCCCATTGCGTAGCAATGATAGCACATTGTTATTTCTCCAGTCCATGACAGAATGACGGATGGCGTTTCAGGTCGCCGCCTCGATGGAACATGCGCCGGGCCGCAGGCGCAACCGTAGCCAGCAGCAGAGGGTGCCTTTGGGTGGTCGACGGGCAATGGTACGCCACTCCGGACGGTTCTGGGCTGCATCGTACCATCCACATGCTGGTACCGGTGGCTCAACCGACGCAAAGTCATCCATAACAACGTCCCTCCATCTCTTGCGTGGACCATGCGCCGGGCGCGGGGCGGGCAGTTCACCGAAGAGAACACACTTTGGCAACCGGTGATCCCCCATCCGTGCAAACGTGTCCAAGCCAGCGCAAACGCCGTTCCCGTATGAGGTGACCAATGTCCTCAGGCACTCCAAGGGTCTTTGCAAGGGCTGAGGACGTTGCGTGGGTCTCCCATTGCTGCCGTCGCGACACTCCAACGATAGTTCTGACACCTTGATGGTGGAAGAGGTTGAGATGCCGTAGGTCCGGAGCCTTTGTAGTTTGTACACACACACGCGCACGCACCCACACGCACACACGACTCACAAGAGTCCACAGCCCTCTCTCGATACGAATTAAAACGTGCATGCAGGGCCCTGGCTCAGTAGCGGCAGACGGTACTGTTCGCAACGTCTTCTGCATAGCCACGAGAATAGTGATTGGCCACATATTACAGTGAAACCTGTCTAAGACGACCGCTCAAGGCTGCAAAATGTGGTCTCTGTTGCCAGGTGGTCTCCTTATCCAGGGTCGTTTGGCTGCAAATAGCATCCCTCGAGTCCTGGTTACAGTGGTCTTCTGAGGCAGGTGGTCGCCTTATCAGAGTGGTCGCCTTGACAGGTTTTACAGTGGTCTTCTGAGGCAGGTGGTCGCCTTGACAGGTTTTACAGTGGTCTTCTGAGGCAGGTGGTCGCCTTATCAGAGTGGTCGCCTTGACAGGTTTTACAGTGGTCTTCTGAGGCAGGTGGTCGCCTTAGCAGAGTGGTCGCCTTGACAGGTTTTACTGTATCATGATGTGCATGCAGCTCGGTCATACGTGAATCGGTTTGAGCGTAACGGTGACTGTTACCAGCAGTCAGCACAATCATTAGGTATGTATTACTGCACAAGGACCAGTGCAATACCGGCCGATATCTGCACGAACGGCGAAGCCGTAAGTGCAGATATCGACGCCGGTATTGCACGCGTCCGAGTGCAGTAATACATTTATCGCACCCCTGCCACCACCCAGTCTGTCACCACACACTTGACACAGTCTGGTGCAACCCTAGCATGCTGCATGCAACCCTGCTATCATTTCACAGTCATACAACACAGCACAACCAGTCGCGTTCATTTTCAGAGGAACACTTCTTTCGAGCAGCTGCTGTCTATATATCACGGGAGATCCTGGAAGTAGCGGGACAGCTTGCTCATGTCGTCGTCGTTGATGGGGTGTTTGCGCTCCACCGCTTTGACTTCTCCCGCTTTCTTTGGCTTCATGAGGAAGGCCTTCAATGCAATGTTTGCGTCCTTGAACGCTGGGTCACTGTGGACGTTCATGGGCCGCTTCAACTCGACTAGCTTGCGATGTATTGCGGTACGGAAACCGAGCAAGCTTGATGCAGAGTAGAACTTCACTCCAGCTTTCTTCGGACGCAATTCGACGTATGCATGTCGCAGAATGTAAGCTAGGTCGCTTGCCGTAACCGTACTCAGGTCACAGCGACGTCCTGTGTCTTTACAATACTCGTCGAATAAGCGGAGCCATTTGTCAGTTGCCTGCTCTGTGTTTTTGTTTTTCTGCTCAGAAACGAGGCTGTTCGATGGCGGCGTCGGACAGTTTCTCTAATCGGCTGTCGACA